ACTCCTTCTGTATATAACATACTGACAGAAAAAAACAGCAAGGAAAGGTTTTTAAGGCTTGGAGATCAGTCATGGGAAAAGTGTCACTTATTCAATATATCAGTGTGCCAGGTTGTTGTTAGATATGCAGGAGGAGGGCCTGACAAAGTTCGTACCCATAGCTATAGGGGAGCCCCCCCCCCCCACTCTCTAACCAATTGACAGGATCAGGATGGAAATCCTCTGTTTAGCTCACTAGCTTCTATCAATGGTTCCTAGGCATTTTGACTGTCTTGTAAATTCATGTAAGATGACTTGGGAAGGAGCCCAAGAGAAAACTTCTAAAAGACATGTATTGCTTAAGTCGCAGTTGTATGACTGTTGCTGAAAATCTGTTGCCCATAGAAGCCACACACCCTTCTTGGTAGCAGAAGATGGAAAGGAAGGGAGAGGGGGGGAAAGCCCCCTCACATATGGAAGTGCCATCAAGTTGCAACTGACTTATGACAACTCCGTCAAGGGGCTTTCAAGGCCAAGTGAGAAGCAGATGTGGTTTGCCACTGCCTTCTTCTGCAGAGTCTTCTTTTGGCGTCTCCCAATCAGAGTACTGAGATCTGATAAAATCAGACTCTACCATGCTGTGTTCCCTCCCAAGAGAGACTTTAATCTTGAACTATTTCCTGCTAAAATGATTTCATGCCCTTTGCACAGGGAAATCAGCTGTGTATTGACATGTGAGGAGGAAATGAGCCTTAGGAAAACATGCACCTATTTGTGAGCTAGGCAATAAAAAGCTTAAAAGTACATCCAGGAAGAAAGTAATCAACAAGTATACAGTGACAGCTGGGCTGGAAACTGGAGGGACTCTGTAACAAAATCTCACTATTTAGTCAAGTTGTTAACGAGGATCAGGATGGACTAGTTTTATTATCCCATCCTAAAGCCTAAAAATTAGTAATATGAGAATTTGGGGGTGACTGGCCAGCACAGGTCGGGTGGGATCTTTCAGCCTATCCCTCCCTCCCCCACGTTTGATTGGTCCCAAGAAGACACTCCCAAGCTGGAGGGAGGGAGTTAAAAACTGTCAGCTTGAAGTGACTCTTGGATCCAAGAAAGAAACTCTGTATTAAAGGACCGTAGTCTGTGCCAGGACTCAGAGATAGTCTTTGTCAAGCTTCTCTTTTCTTGTGCCCATTCCTAAAGTGAAGAATGCAGTGGGTTGAGAGAGCTCTCTTGAAAACTGCCCTTGAGAGAACAGCTCTGAAAGAATTTATGACTGACCCAAGGTCATGCCAGCAGCTGCATGTGGAAGAATGGGGAATCAAACCCAGTTCTCCCAGATTAGAGTCCACGCTCCTAACTACTACACCAAACTGGCTCTCAACCATGCACATTTTTGTTAGTTGTTGCCAACAGATAATATTTAAAACTGATTTTCAGAAAGAGACATAATGAAACCTCAGTTTATTTATCTGAAATGTATATCCCATCATTCAGCCATGTAAGTTTCCCCAATCATACATAACATCCTTCAATAACCAACATTCGAAAAACTTAATAAAGCTAACAAATTGGCTAAAAACAGAAAAGAAGAAAGCAACAGAAGCTCAGCAGCAAAGTACAAATACCTAATTCTGTGGATAACTTATAGTTGTGGCAGAGAATGTTTATTGTGATTTGTGAGAGACTCTTAGCACTTTTCTGGAGGTACAACAGTGCAATTCTAAGAACACTTTCCTGAGAGTAAGCCCCACTTAATACGTTTGAGCAGGATTCTGATTAGAACCATTTAGGGTTGCACTCTTAATTTCACAATCAGTCTTGGACAACAACAGAAACAAATGTAAAATTTCAGACAGAAATGACTGTTTATGTCAGCTTTCTTGGTGTATGAAAAAAATTCCCTGGATACTAACATAACAATAATTAGGAAGCCGCTATTTATTTTATTTGCTTAATTTATACCTTGCTTTTTCCCCCAGTGGGGACTCAGCACAGCTTACATCCTTCACCCATCCTCCATTTTATCCTGTCAACAACCCCACGAGGTAGGTTAGGCTAAGAACATGTAACCAGCTCAAGGTCACCCTGAAAGCTTCCAAGGCAGAGTGTAGATTCAAACCTGGGACTCCCAGATCCTAGTCCAGCACTCTAATTACACAGGCTCTCTGCCTCACTCACTGAACACGGGCTTCGCATGGAAAGGTCCTACATTCAGTCATTGGCATCCCCTGTTAAAGGACCTGAGGTGCCACATGTTTGGGGCTCAGCCTTTTCTTTTCTGGAGACTAATAATTGTCTGACTTGGTAGAATGCAACTTCATATGTTTATAATCCTTACCACTGTCAGGTGATGGCAAAAATAAAAAGAGAAACCCAGTGTAACAGCTTAAAGACGAACAAAATTTATTTCACCATAAACTTTTGTGAACCAGAACTCAATTCATCAGCTGTATTGGCATATAAATCCAATTTCTATACACAATAGGAAAAAATTTTTTGGGGGGGTATTGTATTTTGCTACCCCTTCAGATTTAATTACAGTGTGTATACATCATGGAATCCTCTTACAGGGCAGATATATTAAAAGCCATAATAACTAAATACCACATCCTTCTGTAGAGGTAGTCGTCCTCTGAAAACCAGGTGCTTGGCCCAAACAAGACCCTCTTATTTATTTATTTGATTTATATACCGCCATCCTCGCAAACAGGCTCAGGGCGGTTTACATCAATACTATTAAACATTTAAGAACAGATTAAAACAACATAAAATCACAGATCATAAAATCACAAAATACCATGTAAAGCAATTTGTTCAGATGCCAATCTGATTAATTTGAATATAGCAGTGGTGCCCCGATGTCAAGTTAGATCCAGGCCACTGGTGGGGGGGTTGGCCAGGAAACGATTCACAAGCTCATGCCATAATGCTGGTAGTTCATTACATTAAAAAAGGAAGGCTGTAGTTTGTATGATTGTGGCAGCAGCCAAAAAACCTACAAATAAATCACAGCTAGAAAAATACCTAACTTTTGAACTTTCATGAACTATCTGTGCTTGAACACATACACATACACACACACACTCTTCCTGTCAGTCACCAAAATTTTAACAGCAAAAAGAAATGGGGGGGGGGGATACCAAATACCATCTGTTCTGAATGGGCATTGGAAAGTTGGGCATGCAGTGGAAGACCACAAAGAAAGCCCAGGGCCATTACGCAGAGGCAGGCAATAGCAAACTGAAACTGAATGTCTCCTGCCTTGAAAACCCTCTTGGCTGTGACTTGATAGCACGTTCCAAGTTTCCACCACCAGTGTTAATGTGCAGATTTGGAATTATTCTCTCTCTGCAGATGGACAGAATAGGAGCTGTGAACTGGCATACCTGCAATAGAAGTAAACCTGGGACAGCATAGGATGTCCTGGCTAGAAAGTGGCTAGCTAATCACAGCCCTTCTGAGGCTCATCATTGGTTAGCTAAGGTCTAATGGAAAAACTGACCCGCACGCTCACCAGGCCTGGACTGGGAAGAGAAAATGGCCATGGGGCAAACCAAGCTGAGGGGTCCTTGCTGTGCTACCAGCCACTCAGCTCAGTGGTGCCAACAATGCCTTCCGGCTCATGCACTGCCTTCACGGGCAAACTGGCAGCAGTGAAGGAGGATGCAGCTGGTGAGCTGACTGTGATCATCACTGCTGTTGAAGTGTCTGCGCCAAGTGGCCCCTGAGGCAGTGGCAGAGTTGCTGGGGCTTGGCTTAAAATCAATGGGAGTTTTCTTCAGTGATCCCTGTGAAAGACGGATGCCGCTCTTAAAGTGGTTTTGCACAACGTTAGACTGCAGTATGGGACCACAGCAAAATCCAGAAACAAAAGCCACATTGTACATTGTAGAAAGCAAAATCCAGAAACAAAAGCCACATTGTACATTGTAGAAAGCAAGAAATTGCAAGTAGATAAATAGGTACCACTACAGTGGGAAGGTAACAGCGTTCCGTGCGCCTTGGTGTTTAGTCATGCCGGCCACATGACCACGGAAACGTCTTCGGACAGTGCTGGCTCTTCGGCTTTGAAACAGAGATGAGCACCGCAACCCTAGAGTCAGACTCGACTGGCTTTCGAGCAAGGGAACCTTTACCTTTACCTTTACATTGTAGAAAGGGCAACAAATTGACCCAGCACAGTGTTCCGGCTGGGTGCTGAAACAGGTGAGTGTGTAAAAATGCTTGCCCGGTAGGCAGCTGTGTTGGTTTCACGGCAAAATCCAAAAACAGCAGCCAAGTTGCTGAAGGGAGGCTTTTGACTCCTGGAAGCCTGGAAATCTTGTTGGTCTCTAAGGTGCTCCTGACTCGAATCTTGCTCTTCTAGGCAACATCGCTACCCACCTGAAACTACTACAGCCGCCTATACATTCTACGATATGCGTGTATGTAGCCATTCACACCCCACGTTTCTCTCCATTTGAGGCCCAAAGCATCGTCTCCTCTTCCAATCCTGTAAGGTAGTTGAGGGTGAAGGTGACGGACATCCGGAGAGTTCCCACTTCTGCAGAACTGTCATCAGGCTGAAGGGCCCCCACCCCCCCCCCCCCCCCTTTTCTTCTTCTTTTTGCTTTTCAACGTCCAGCCAGTTCTGCGGCACTCGCCAGCCTGCGCAACTTGTCGTGTTATTCCGGTCAGTCGCGGGCCTTTCGGCTGTCTGTCTTCTCTTGGTAGGTTAATCTGCAACCGGTTCTTGACTCTCGAGCCCGACGACTTCCAGGCGCGGGGGTTTCCCCAAGCAGGGCACTGCCACCAGGCCAGGAGGAAGCCGCCCAGCCGAAAGCCCCCCTCCGAGCGCCAAGCAACCTCGCCAGCCGCCGCCGCCGCCGCCGCCTCCAGGCGTGTACGTGTTGCCAGTCCGCTTTGCCCGAGTCACATGAGCGGCCCTTGGCGTTGCGATTGGCTCGGCCGCGGCCGACGCCTCCTTTCTTTTCTGCTCCTCGCCGCCTTGTCCCCGCCGCCGCCGCCGCCGAAGAAGCAGAAGAAGGGGGAGAGCCGGCGGGGCTGCGCGATGGCCGTCCCCCGGAGCCGGGAGCGGATCCTCTGCCTCTTCGACGTGGATGGGACCCTCACTCCGCCTCGCCAGGTACAGCCTTCTTCCCCTTCTTGCCCGGGGGCGGCTGCACTCGGCCGGGCTGCGCGCCTTGCCTGCCGGAATGAATGGAGCCCTCTCCTTCCGCCTCGCCCGGCACTCGGATCGGGCTCGGAAACTCAGCTGCCCCGGTTCAGAGAGCCCAGGTTGCCCGGCCAGGGCGCGCCAGGCTGCCGCTTGGCCCTCCTCCTCCTCCTGGGCTCTGGAGCGGGGGCGTTGAAGGCGCCACCGAAGGCCGCCCAGAGCCAAGAGGCCGAGGACGGAGCAGGGACGGCGGGTAGGAGGCTTCTCTGTTCGGCCATTGCGCGAGATGGGGCTGGTCGGATCTGCCCGAGGTCAGGCCCATTCAGGATTCATGCTTCAAAAGTGTCCAGGTTCCGGCCAGAGATCATCGGGAGGACTCCCCACCCCCCACTTGATACTCCAGGAAGTTCCATCTTCCTTTCAGAGTTCGTCATTATAGCCGTATTCGCCATGAATTTGGGTGATCCTTTTCAAAGAAGGACCTGCTAATGATTGCAACACCTTGTGGCAGTCAGTTCCACAAGTGACCTAAGAACTCATTCCCTTGGGCCTGCCCTGAACCTATTGCCAGTCAGTTTCCTTAAGTAAAACTGTTCTAAGCGTTCAGAGGGAGAGGTGTCAGTTTGGTCTTTGCATACCAACTGGTGGTGGAAAGTGCCTTTAAGTCACAGCAGAATTCTGGTGACCCCGCAGGGTTTTCAAGGGAAGAGGCGAACAGAGGAGGTTTGCCACTGCCTGCCTCTGCATGGCAACCCTAGACTTCTTTGGTGGTTTCCCATGCAAGTACTAACCAGGGCCAACCTTGCTTAGCTTCCCAGATCTGACAAGATCAGGCTAGCCTGGGCCATCCACTAACTACACCCACTAACTATCCTTGATGAGGCAGGATTTGTAGAGAATGTCCAAACAATGTGACTTCCCAGTTTCAGGCTAAAGTGGTGCAATCCAGGAACCAGTTTATACTAGCTATGCTGATAAGTGGCCCACCACTTCCATCTCTCCCTGCTCCTCCCCAGACTGCAGGTGGCTGTGACATCAGTACTCCTGGTAACCAAAATAGACTGAACAGCCCCTCCATCAGCCTGAATTGTTGCCAATCCTTGGAAGGGATACCGGAAAGTCAGCTCCCAAAGGTAGTAAATAGAAAGACAGGTAAATCAACACTCCTTTCATTGGTGGGAGGGACAATATCAGCCTATCCAATGTTAGCCTATCCAACTGGAACTACATATACATCCTTGTTCTATAAAACCAGTAATCTTCAAAGTCCAGAGAGCCCTTTCCACGTCACCTTGTCAGCTGTGTAAAACGGGGGTCCAGTGGCATTTTAAAGACTAACAAAATTTATCCCAGCATAAGCTTTCGTTAGCTTCTTCAGATGCTTTTTAGCATAAACCTATCAGAAAGCAGAAAGGGGCAGGGGATGTTCAGTACAAGATCCAATGCAAAGATTAAGCAGTTCATTCACAATGCGTGTGCGACACTCCCAGCTGTTGTTAGATGGACAGCATATAACACATAATGCAGGATGAAGTGCTACGTCAGCTGCCACCTGTGGAGCTCTTGCATGTTGCAGAGGATCCGGGAGCATGCTCAGTTGCACTAAGCAAGCCAGTTGGGCCACATTGTCACTCCATATGAAATGACAGTATAATCTAGAAGACATCCAGACCGATTTCACACAAGAGCTGCGCTGCGGTCGCGCCTCCCTTTGCCCCGCTTCTATTGGTCAATTTCCCACTCGAAGCCGGGCGGGTGCATTTTGACCCGCAGCTTCGCCTGATTTTCCCCGCAGTTTCATGATCCTCAAAAAATAGGATCACGAAACCGCAGGGAAAATCGGGCGAAGCCATGGGTCAAAATGCACCTGCCCGGCTTCGAGTGGTAAATTGACCAATAGAAGCGGGGCAAAGGGAGGCGCGACCGCGGCGCAGCTCTTGTGTGAAATCAGTCCCAGTCTTTTTCAGCACATTACAGAGGAGGATGGGAAGTGGCAGGCCTGTAGCCACCGGGGGGGGGCTGGGGGGCAACACCCCCAAATGTGCCCTGCCCCTCCCTATACTCCTCCTCCAGGGAGCCTTGGGTGACTGGTGACGGCCGCACTTTCCAGAGACGGCAGTGGGCTTTCCAGTATCTCTGGAGTGGCTGCCAGGGGCAGGCAGGGACACTCTGGGAGCCGGGACCTGCCCAAGCCTACTTACCAGCTGCCCGGCCCCAGTGCTCTTGGCCCCAGGGCAAGTCAGGCCATTCTTCTGAGCTCCTGCCACATGCCCCAGCAGCCATGCCTGGCCTTCCGGGGCCAAGCACACAGGGCTGGGTGGGCTTTGGCTGCAGCACACAGGGGAGACAGGAAACTGGAGAGAGAAGCAGCAGGGAAGGGGGAAGAATGTCTCTTGTTGAGCCAAGAGCAGAGCTTGTAGAGAGTTGGGGCTGGGCTGTGCATCTATTGCCTGACACTCAAAAGGAAGACGGGCACACACAGGTAGCAAAGTGCAGGCTCTCCCCAAAGAAAGAAAGACCGCTGTGGCAAGGAAAACCCAGCGGGGAAGACGCGGGGACATCACTAGGGGTTATGTTGGAAGTGATGTAGGAAGTGACTTAGGCATGTGCCCCCCCCCCCCGACAATTTTCTGGCTACTGCCCTGGGAAGTGGTGGGGACACATCTCTGTGTGCCCACACCTGCTGAAATGTCAGGTAATACCAGGAACAGGGCCTTTTCTTCTCTGGCACCCCACCTACAGAACTCAGGCTTTCCATCCTTTTGCTTCTTTTGAAAGTACTAGATGAAGACATTTTTAGGGCATTTGAGAGAAATGGGGTTGGGGTGTCTTGTTTTGTCTAGAGGTGTGTACAAAGATTCAGGATCCAGCGCCTTTCCTCTGCTTACAGTGTGCTTCCCCGTCCTTGCTCCCCTAAGGACATAAATCCATTGCTGATTTTCATCCCATGCATCACACCTAGCATCTAAGTAAATATTTATTTGGTGCTGGTGTCTTACGATGGCCTTCTCAAGCTCAGTTTGGGAAAACTGACAACCAGTTCAAACATAAGAACATAAGAGAAGCCAATATTGGATCAGGCAAATGGCCTATCCAGACCAACACTCTGTCATGCAGTGGCCAAAAATACCAGGTGCCATCAGGAGGTCCAGCAGTGGGGGCCAGGATACTAGAAGCCCTCCCACTGTTGCCCCCCCCAAGCACCACAGAACATCCCTTGCCCCTTACCAAGAATTTACACATTACAACACATTACAAAGACCACATGTGTCCTGTCCACCATAGGTTCTGTCAACAGACACGCCCTGGAAGTTCTGTGTTTGGAATTTAATTACCAAGAATGCTCAGTTCAGAGTGGAACTGCAAGGAGGGGAGGTGTAAGCAGTAGCCCCATCCCAGCCTCACTTGGCCTTGGGCAGCCATGGCTGGCCTGTCAGGGGAAAATATCTATACTGACAGGTTATTAATCAGTCTCCCCAGCAGGGCATATAGTGACTCCCTGGAGCCATTTCAAGTTGGGAAAACAGTGCTGGATTGGGGAGGCTTAAGCCTTCTCTCCCTATATGCAACAGTCCAAATCCAAATCAAGAATTAAGTTCAGAGCACAGTATTGGCGGTGGGTGGGGCTACAGTGGGAGGGCTTCTAGTGTCCTGGCCCCACTGCTGGACCTCCTGATGGCACCTGGTATTTTTGGCCACTGTGTGACAGAATGTTGGACTGGGTGGGCCTTTGGCCTGATCCAACACTGGTTTCTCTTGTGTTCTTACTGTCAGAACACGTCTGGTTGGACAGGTCATGAGGGGGACAGATGGCCTTTGTAAGCCTGCATATAGACATATTCTGGGAAAGGGCGGAATAGAAATCTAATACATAAATAAATATAGGCATATCTCAGCAGTGAATGCCCTTGATGTAAAGTTAATCCTCACTCTTCTTGTCCACGAAGACCATTAACCTGGTGTGATAGGAGGAGATGAGAGTTGTTTTGGAAGACTCACTGTGTGTGATCCCATCCAGCACTTTGTCTCCCTGTGTGTTAGAACTTTGGCCTTTGTTATTCTGAAGGCATCTCCTTATGCAAGATCAGCAAGAGAGAAAACAGCTCCCCATGCCAAAGGGGCAGCCGAGAAGGTAGAGTCAGCCCTGTAGGTGAGTTTGTCAAACAACTTCTATCTTTAGAAGATAAGAAAAGAATCCCAGGGAAATGGATGGAAGCCAGAGGGGGGGGGGATTAAGAGGATAGATTAAAACCTTCTGACCCACTTCCCACATCCCAGGGTAATGTGTAAAGCCTCTTCATGCACTGAAGAAAAAGCTGGGGGAATGACTGGCAAGTTAGTGTAGAGTTTCTCCTTAATAGTCCTAAGCAGTGTTGACAAAAAATTAGAAGACCACTAACATAATAACCTGAATACAAATTATTGCAGTGATGGTATTTCAGTGGAATGGCAGCCCGTCTTTGGAGACACACATGCCCTTTTTGGATATGCACACAGTACAAAGACTAGCCTGATCTCAGCAGATCTTGGAGCTAAGCGGGGTCAGCCCTGGTTAGTATCTGGATGAGAGACCACCAAGGAAGTCCAGGCAGGCAGTGGCAAACCACCTCTTGCCATGAAAACCCTGTGGGTCCGTGGTAAGTTGGCTGCAAACTGGCAACACTTTCCACCACCACAGAGATGGAGACTTGTAGTGTATTAAACAAAGTCATTAAAACCACTGTCGTCTTCACAGATACAGAAAGGAAAGGAATGCCAACATTTGTCTGTCCTCCCTGTCTTCAGCTTTCCTCATGGATTTGTGAGAGCTTCCCTATAGGATGCTGCATCTGTCCCATTGGGCGACAGTCACCCTTCTCCTGCCCCTTGGGTTAGCAGCATTCCCTGGGGCTGGGAGGGGAAGGCAAGCTGAAGTTGGTTCTTCGCTTCCTGTTTTCATTTTCTAGTTCCTTATTCACCAGTCTGACTCCAAATACAGATGATACTTAAGAATCAGCTTCAGTCTCATTCTTGGCTTTATGATTCCTTGTACACAGAGACAGTGGAAGGACTGGATGGGGTGTTTGCATCTCTGTGCAGACTACAGCCTGCAGATTATGGGCTGTTGCCTTCCCAGCATAGTTACAAATGTCTGTCAGTAAGAAGGACTTCAAGTGGGTCCATGGAACACTATCGTTGTGCTTGATCTTGGTTATTACTGTTAGTATCCATCACTTCACAGGCCTCAACAACTCAGGTATCAGCTGACAGAAATCCCCGGGGGTGGCAGTGGGGGGAGAAAGGAACTACCACTCCTTATAGGACCCCTCAGGAACAGATGTGGGTAGAAATGTTAATGGGTTGATAGGGTAACAGGCAAACTTTCCTCCAACATCATGTCTGCTCTCTCAATCTTTTGGATCCTGTCCAAGTTACAAGCGATGGCAGCAGACCCAAATCATTATATGCAGGTCTGTCACAGCTGGGTTGAAAGGGAGTAAAATTTAATATACCAAAAAAGGATTTACTTCTGGGAGTCTGATGTTATTATTTAAAAGAATGCATACTTCATCTGTTATCTTTGAGGTGACTTACAAACATAAAAATGTAACCATAAAAATTCAGCAGCACAAAAGAAGAAGAAGAAGAGGTTTTATTTATACCCCGCCCTTCACTACCCGAAGGAGTCTCAGAGCAGCTTACAATCTCCTTTCCTTTCCCCTCGCCACAATGTACACCTGGTGAGGTAGGTGGGGCTGAGAGAGCTCTCTCGAAAACTGCTCCTGAGAGAACAACTGTGAGAGAACTTGTGAGTGACTCAAGGTCACACCAGCAGTTGCATGTGGAAGAGTGGGGAATCAAACCCAGTTCTCCCAGATTAGAGTCCGCACTCCTAACCACGACACCAAACATTGCCAAAATGATAATTAGAAACTCGTAAACACAGGCACTAATTACAGAATGAAAAACCAATCAGAAGAATATGGCAGTGCAGCCAAAAGCTGGCTGAAATAACGTGATCTTGCATAACTTTTGAAATGTGGTCATGGGAGGCACTCTGTGCCCCCTGCTCTGGGAAATTAGTTCACAGGATGGGTGCTACCACTGAAAAGGCACTGATTTTATGGCACCCAAACATACCTCCTGAAAAGAAAGTACCTTTAGAGGAAGACACTGCACTGATCTAAGATCTCTCTATAGGGAGTGGTAGACTTTCAAATACACAGGTCCTTGAAATGCACCAAGAAACAGGTAGACTCCCAGTTCAGCTATTATAAAACTTAGGCAGCATGTAAGTGCTGTCCAATAACAGTCAGAAGACTATCAAATATGGCAGGATATAGCAGGATTAAAAAGGACAAATTGCCCCTATCCATTTGTAGCCAGGGATCATCCACCAGTGCTAAATGTCCCATAACCAGGCCAAAATTTAGGTTGGAAAAACTTGCTGTGCTTCTCCCCCTTTCCAGTCCCTTCCCCAGGCTGCCCCCCCATTGGGCTTGTTTACAATCTTGAGCCTGTGAAGGGCATGATTTTGGGGGATATAGTATAAGGAAAAGCAGGTGGGGGTCAAATTCAACACTTCCCATGCATATCTATGGTGGTTTAAATTGCCCCTCACATGCACACAGAGATATGATCGTGACAAGCCCTTATTTGATATGTTGGGTTTGTTACCGTTTCAGGAAGCTGATATGTCATCCATGTGTTGATAACGGGCTTGGACTTAGATAGGATGGAGTCCCTGCCCGACGTCTTTCCCTCTACAGTCCTTCTTAAGTGCTTTTTCCTAGCTGAGCTTACTGGTGGTATCAGAGCCATGGGTGGGGAATCATTGCATCTTTTTGCATTTTGTTAGCCTCACTCTGTAATATCTCCATACTTTTGCACATCTGTTGTGAGAGCTGTGACAGCCAGCTTGGTGTAGTGGTTAAGGGTGGCAAACTCTAATCTGGAGAACCAGATTTGATTCTCCACTCCTCCACATGAAGCCAGCTGGGTGACCTTGGGCCAGTCACAGTCCTCTCAGAGCTTTCTCAGCCCCACCTACCTCTCAGGGTATCTGTTGTGGGGAGATGAAGGGAAGGTGATTGTAAACTGCTCCAGGACTCCTTCAGGTAGTGAGAAGTGGGGTATAAAAACAACTCTTTTATTGCTGTAGCCCTACAAACTTCATTTAGCCATCATTAATTTGTTAATCTTTAGGACCACACTTGATTTTTTTGGGGGGGTGTCAAATGTCAGGATGTGAATAGCTTGATAACTCTTCTGTTACAGTGGTCATTTCTAAATACGTTAGTGTCTTTCACTTTTTTTTCTCAGAGAATTGAGTCAGAAGTAGCCGAGTTTCTGGAAGAGCTCCGTAAGAGAGTGATGATTGGTGTGGTGGGAGGCTCTGACTACACCAAGATTGCAGAGCAACTGGGAGAAAGGGATGAAGGTGAGAAACACACCTACATATCTGTTCTCTTGACCCATTTGTTTGCCTCATGCAAACGGACAAATATGTTGCAAAATAAAAATCACAGAATGCCTGCTGGTGAGTTGTAGGGACAATTCAGACATGCAGAGAAAATGTGTGGTGCTGTCCTTCTGGCACTGTACCATTTCAGACTGCAGGTGAGGGAGTCATATGGTTGAGTGCTCCACCATTCAGTGTTCCTTCCCCACAGATAATGCGTCAGTGAGAGAGCTTTTAGCTTAACCTTTGCCCTGATGTCTCGTCTTCAAGGAGTTATTTTTGTTTGTCTTTCATGTGCAGATCCCCACCTGCAGTCTGAAGTGGTACAATCCAGAAAGGGCTGTACCACATGATATTTCTGCATCTTGGAATCAATCCTAAGTCAGGTTTGTATGCAGGCCACACTGTTTACCTGCCGTTGTAATGTCATTGCAGGCCCAGTGATCTCAAATGGAAGTTCAAAACTCTTAATCGTTTCCATGTCCTCTTTATCTTTCCTGTGGCCTAGGAAAGTGAGAAAACAGAACTTAATCCAGCCTTCGACAGTCTGTTGTTTGCTCCCAGAATACTGGCACAGAAACTCATGAGAAAGACAAATACCTGCCTATTCAGTTTGAGTTCTCAAAGAGAGGTACAGGTGCTAAGGAAAGTCGTTCCGTGTCAGAATAGAAGCTTTGCATGCAAAAGATCCCAGGTTTATTCCCCAGCATCTCCAGTTAAAAGAGTCTTAGGTTGTCTGAGACCCTGGAGAGCCATTGCCAGGCAAGCTTAGACAATCCTGGGCTTGATGGAATAATCCACTCATTATATGTTCACCTTTTCTGTCCTGGCTCCTATTTCTGTGGAGGCAGGATCACAGCACAACACAAGGAGGGGACTTGAAGAAATCAGGAATAATAAAGGTACAGGCAAAGATAGTGAGGGGAATAAGAACACATATGAACACAGCACCACAAGGCATATCAGTAGACAAAAACATAGGGTTGGATCCTGTGATCCATAAGTGGAAGGTGCTGACAGTCACAGACCTTTCCCTTCCCCCCCCCCCCCCCAGTGGTCCATAAATTTATTGCTAGGGTCAAGGGATCTGCAAGGTCTGCAGTCCATACAGGTTGGATAGTGGCAGTGGGGAAAGTCACAAAATCACTCTTTCTGTCTGTCAGTCTCTGACAGAAGCAAGAGAAGAGGGCAATTTCATCTTATCCCTACTGCAGCCTCCCGACCTGTGTGGCTCTTAGGCCACATGGGTCCCACAGTCCCAGTAATAAACTTTCCTGGGGCCAGAAAGACGGCTGGGATGGCACAAGAAATCCTTGCTGGCATCTGCAGATTGCAGGATCCAACCCATTAGGTGCATCCTGTGCAGCACCTTGTGGAGCAGAAGTGGTTTGCCCAGGAACCAAACTGGACCGCCCCCCCCCCCCAGCAGAACTGCCTGCCCTATTCCTACTGTGAACAGCAAATCCTGTCTGACTGGCATTAAATCTAATGAGGCTGGGGGATATCAGCACTCTGTTCGAACAGCAAATGCCATAAAGAGTTATCTGGTCATTCACAGCCCCTGTTTCCAAAAAAAACCTACAGCTCATGGAGATGCAGAATGCCTCTGAACTCCTCATTAGACGCCTGCATGTACTTGCAGAAGTAAAGCCGAGGGCTAACTCTGTGCCCCTAAAATCTACTCCATCCACTATTAAAGTATTCTGAAACCTTCCTTCTGAAGGAAGGATGCCAGCCGATGAGAAGGATCTCACAACTCAAGGAGGCATTAAATGAATTGCTGATTCAGCATTGGCCTGTTTATTGCTGTTAGACGAGGCTAGATAATCATTAACTGTGTTACTGAGACACCTGTGGAGTAGCAGGGGGGCTGGCAGAGAGAAAGCAAGCATATGGAGAAGTATGATCAGGTACAGTTCAATTCTGATGCTACCTTTGCCTCATGACTTTGAGTTGCATGTAACATGGCACATTGGCACTTGTTCATGAGAACTTTTGGAGGCAAAAGTGTCCAAGTAAAGCCACAAGGGTGCTCAAATGATGGAGGAAAGGTAAGGGGATTCTTAATCAAGTCTACTCATGCCCCCATCTCACTAGCCTAAAAGCAATAGTTAAGGGAGCTATTTACAAAAGTCAATAGGTTGTGCATCCCTGGCCTGCTGTAATTTGAGCACAGGGGCACAAAATTCACCAGATGCACATTTTAGCCCCTGGCCACCTGACTGACAAAAAGGGTTACATGAATATTTATTTCTGATTTTCATCTCTCTTCCCTCACTTTTCCCTCTCAACATCCTCTCTGCCCCTCCAAACTCCTTCCTCACAGTCATCAACAAGTTTGATTATGTCTTTGCGGAAAATGGCACTGTGCAGTACAAGAATGGACAACTAGTCTCCAAGCAGGTAGGCCTAACCTCCTTGTGTTCTGCCACCAATGCTGAAAATTCTCTCCATCCGTGTCCTTCCCCTCTAAGTCTTTCCAGAGAGAAAATGCTATCTAAACCCTTCCTTAATGGTCTCCACTGAGTCATCAAATAGGTTAATGCAGACCAAAGCCCCCTGTCCTATTGTTAACATTTTAACAGACTAGATAAATTTGGTAAATGAGCCCATCTAGGAATTGTAGTTCATTGTCTCAGTGCGACTGACCTTGACTTTGACCCACAGGCTATCCAGGACCACCTTGGAGAGGAACTTCTACAGGAACTGATCAACTTCTGTCTCAACTACATAGCACTACTAAAGTTGCCCAAGAAACGGTAATGATCCTGCCTTCTGTTTCTGCATGCGCACGCTGTTTTTACTATCTAGCTAATGTGAGTATTTAGAATCAAAGAAGCAGAAAGCTGGAAAGGATTTGGTAGATTATTGAGCCCAACTGCCAACTATAAGACAAGGAGAAGGAATCCTATATTCAAACAATACTTAGTGGAAACTCGTCCACTATTTTAATGAAAATCCATAAAAAAGGCAGTTGCACAGATTTGTAGATGCTGTATTTCATTATGTAACTGCCCGTGGAGCTGAGTAAAACACTGAAAAAGAAATTCTTTCATTTCTGTACTTTAAGCAGACAGCAGAAGAACTGATATTGCTCTTTCGGTTTTCCACAAGATCCTTCTAAATATTTGAAATAGTGTATTCTCCTCAGGCTAAACGTTCGAAGATTCTTTAGTCTTTTGTCACCTGGCATATTTAAGTAGCTAAAGAAGTGCTGCTGGTTGAATGACAACAGTCCAGGGTATGGAGCTGTTTTAAGCCAAAATGTGGGTCAGGAAGTGGGTAAGAGCAGAAAGTAGAGAAAACATAGCACAGAGCCACAGACTGAAGCCACAGATGGGTCCCTGGGTTGCCTAGTGACAGCCCTGGTTTTAATAGTAATGCTGATGAAGAGTGCAGTTAATTGTAATACAAATTTTCGGTGCCTATAATACTTACATGGACATTCTTACCCTTTTCATAATTCATGACAAGACATCAGCTTGGATCTTACCTAAAATTCTGTGGATGGAAGTATTCATGGAATGTCACTTCCCGGTGTTCCCCCTTCTGCTGTGGCCCATAATTACTGCTGATATATTGTTCCTGCAGGAAAGGGGGGCCAACAGGAATAACTTGGAGGAAGGGAATCAGCAAAAAACCTCAACCTTCTGTCCACAGAACTTTTAGGCAGAATATAAGCCGTATTCTGAACTGATGTCCCATGTTGGTAACTGTCTGGGTAGCAATCATCAGACATGCGTGGATATTAAATTCCCTGCATGGAACTAGCAACATAACATCTCATTGTGTGGACCCAGGAAGGACTAGAGAAGAACATGATATGTAGTTAACTATCTGGTGTTGTATCATTGCTGGAAGATTCTGCCTGACTTTGTATTAAAGAAGCCATGAGTGTACAATAGACCTATCCTGCCTTACAGCCCCACCCTGCCTTACAGCCCCATATTCAAGTCTCCCCTTCTCTCCTATTTTCTAAAACATGCAAAGAGGGACCTTCATAGAATTCCGCAGTGGAATGTTGAACATCTCTCCCATTGGTCGAAGCTGCACCATGGAGGAGCGAATAGAATTTTCAGAGCTGGACAAGGTAAATAATTCTCATTAGTCCCAGAATGGACAGGATGTGCCCTCTAAATCAGTTTAGTGTGGCACACAGAAGCCTATGAATCCTAGGCTTTTCATATCCAAATTTTCAACCTTGTGTGGTTAATGTGAAGATCATATAAAGGAAGACAACTTGTATAACTCGTTAAGGCATTCATGTATCCTGCACAAGCCTATTTTGGTAGATGTCCATTTCTTTTTTGCAGTGTCTTGGCATAGTGTTGCTAGGCAGCTTTGTGAATGAAGGACTCAAAACAGGAAGTTAATCTGAGAATATTTTTGTAGAATTTGCAAGGTATATACACAAAATATGGGGGGAAAGTCAAATGTGAATTGAAGTGAATTGAAGTAAACTTTTCTTGCTCTTCTTTTGTCCTCCCCTGACTTGCTTTCCTTTGCAGAAAGAGAGGATCCGAGAGAAGTTCGTAGCTGCCCTGCAGAGGGAGTTTGCTGGCAAGGGCCTGAGGTTTTCCCGAGGTGAGTATGGACCTGCTCATCGCTCGGTGTATTTTCCTTTGGGGTCTTGGAACAGCAAACTGTCAAGCACTGTTTCCCCTTTAAAGGCAGATCAGGGATTTGCTTGGTGGATTGAAAAGAGGTTTCCCCAGGAGGGTCCCTTCCAGTGTTGAATACGTTTTTTCCATTGTATTCTTATGCTCTAAACATGTTTGCTCAGATACAAGTCTCATTAAATTCAGTGAGACTTTCTTCTAAGGAAGTGGTCTTAGGGATTGAAGGATCTCTGTCTCTTACAAGTAATGGCAAGGATAAGAACACAGTCTGGCTAGATGTTCTTTGTCTGAGACCCCAGTTGTATGGGCAGCTGTATAGCAGCAGCTAACACATGGCTTTAGGATCAACCAGTGTTCCCTCTAAGCTGTGCCAGCTTGCACTGGCACACAAATTCCCAGCCCCCAGCACACAGATCCCTGGTTAAGCGCAGGGCAAATAAACTCTCTCCCACCTTCCTCCCTAGGGCTGCCGCTGCACCACAACCTGCCCCACCCAGCTCCCTCCATCACATAGAGGGGAAGAGGTACAAACCCAAGTCTCCCTTCCCCCCATCGGCCAAGGTCTCCTCCTTCTTCCCCTGGGGAGGGAGGGGGAGCTGCCAGCCATTTAAAGCGAACAGCTGACCGGCAGGTTCGCTGGTCAGCTGTTTGGTTTAAAGAGTGGGAAGCCATTTCAGTGCTCCCTTTGGTTTCCCACTGCTTGGAAGCGGGGAAGGGGAGGACAAAACAGAGGACTCTAGTGGCTGCCCGCCCTTTAAAATGAAAAGTTGACAGGTGGACCTGCCATGCTGTTCGGTTTAAAGGGCGGGAAGACATTTCAGCACTGTTTTTGGCTCTCCCCCCCCCCCTTGGAATTGGGTTTTTTTTTTTAATGGAGGACTCTAATGGCTGCCCTTTAAAGTGAACAGCTGACAGGGGGCTCTCTTTCTTTTTTCTTCCTTCCTTCCTCTCTCCCCATTTGCTTTCTTTCCACCTCTCTTTCTTTCTATATTTCTTCCTTCCTTCCTTTCTTCCTGTCTTCCTCTCTCATCTATTTGCTTTCCTTCCTTCCTTCCTTCCTTCCTTCCTTCCTTCCTTCCATCCATCTCTCCCCATCTATTTGCTTTCCTTCCACTTCTCTCCTTCTTCATTCCTTCCTTCCTTCCTCTCTACCCATCCATTTGCTTGCTTGCTTTTCGTATTTTTTTAAAAAATGTACGCTCACTCACAATTTTAATCCTGTCAGGTCTTTTGACTCACAGAGTAGAATTTTGGCTTGTGAGACTCTGCAGCTTAGAGGGAACATTGGGTCCAACAGTGCCTGCAGAAGCAAGGGGGATAACCTTCCTCCCTCTGTGGGTGCCAGAGCAACAGCTGCTGGCCTGAAAATAACATACACATCTTACCAGTACTGTCTCTTCCAGGGGTTTCAAAGCAAAAGATGGGTGGGTACCTGGCCACTTTCTCACCAGAAATTTCACCCTGATCCGCAGCCATTGGTTTTGCATCCACTAGCATGCCAGACAAATTTATCTGAAACAGAGGCACTCTGTTGCAAAAGGCACTACAGTCTGGCAAACGGTCCGGATACCAGAGGGACCTTCTAGAATGCCTGCCTTTTAAGCTTATCTTTCCAGCAAAGAGAAGCTCCTTTCCCTGTCCAATTGCACTTAAAGGACTAGAACACAATCAAGCAGTACTTTTCCATTTAGAGGCACCTGCTCCTCACATATTCTTCTGGAATGTTAACAGGACCCTGTTCAGTCATGCTTACACTGGCCACTTCTGTTTGTGCCTTCAGGTGACTGGGGCCTTGCTGACGCCTTTCCGTCCCATTGCCATGGAAACAGCAGCTATTGAATTAATGTGTTGGAGAGTCAGGCAGGCTCGCTGTAGTGGTGCGTGACCATCTGTAGTGTGATGATTTATTCTGCACAGAGCCACGATCCGCTTTATCCCAGGGGTATTGAGGGGGTGCGTTACCTTACAAGCTTCTGTCTTCAACTCTTCCTTTCCCCTGGCAGGTGGCATGATTAGCTTTGATGTCTTCCCAGAGGGCTGGGATAAGCGCTATTGCCTCGATATCCTTGACGAGGAAAGATTTGATATCATACATTTCTTTGGGAACGAGACAACTCCTGTAAGTATCCTGTATCCAGCTCTGCTCTTTGACAAAAGACCAGGCACTATATGGGACTGAGAAGGATGACAAGTGTTGTGTTCATTCTTACCTAGGTTGGCCAGCTGTTCTGAGAGTATACATAACTGTAGAAGGCCTCTTCTTCAACAGAGAGTCAAACAGGTCTTTTCTGTGATGCCTGAAAGGCATTTATGTGTTTGAAAACATACAATAAATGGAACTAGGAGTCTGTGCTGATCATTTGTTCTTAAGTATGCAAATGCCCTTCATATAGGACAGAAAAGAAACCGTTGACGTCTCATGGGAAAATGAAGGCCCATCTGTATGAAGTGCTGTCGTCGTCTAGTCTGGCAACTGGTACCTGGGATTTCCTGAAAACATATGTAGGCTACCACTGCCCCCTTATGGTGATAAAGAGAAGATTAAGACAGGGCGGCTCTCTCAGTGGTTCAGACTAATTTGGTTGGACCAATAAAAGGCATTGTGTAGGTTTTGTTCCAGTTCTCCCCTGACAGGGTACCATTAATAGCAGTAGCTCAAAGATATTTTGTCTGCCAAGAGGATTCTGGAGTATTCCATTCATCCCCTTGACATCAAGTTGGAAACAAGAGAAACGGGAAAAAGCAGCCCCCCCGATAGCATAACACCACACAGCAGGAAGCACAGTTGTTCTCATACCTGCTTTCATGTACACTGTGGTTGTGTAGGTCATCCATGCAGCCTGATAATCTGTGTATGTATATGTGGGTTTTCCTTTCTGTAGTGAAGAACCTGAAAGGCTGTATATGAATAGAGTCTAATCTGAGAGATGGTTTATAACTTGCCTCAGTGGGAGTGGCCAGGCAACTGGATTAAATGAAAGCAATTGCAGGTAGTCTATAGGTAAAGGTAAAGGTTCCCTTGCTCGAAAGCCAGTCGAATCCGACTCTAGGGTTGCGGTGCTCATCTCCGTTTCAAAGCCGAAGAGCCAGCACTGTCCGAAGATGTTTCCGTGGTCATGTGGCCGGCATGACTAAACACCAAGGCGCACAGAACGCTGTTACCTTCCCACCGAAGTGGTATCTACTTGCAATTTCTTGCTTTCGAACTGCTAGGTTGGCAGGAGCTGGAACTAGAGACGGGAGCTCACTCTGTCATGCGGCACCCGGGTCTTGAACTGCTGAACTACCGACCTTCCATAGCCTGCAGTTCAGCGTCTGAGCCACCACAGCTCCAGGTAGTCTATAACTCACTGCAAATTTTCCATCAAGTCTTCCAGCCAGATAGTTCTATAAGGGACTGGCAGTAAGACTTACCTTCCTTCTGGAAAGACTGTGGCTCAGTGGTAGAGCGCATGCCTTGCATGCAAAAGCCTTCAAGTTCAATCTCCAGCATCTCCAGTTAAAGGATCTTAACCAGAAAGACTTTATCTCAGTCTGGAGAACAGCTGCTGGCAGGCATGGATAGCACTGACATGGATGGTTTGACTTAGTATGAGGTACCATCTTATTATGTTCTTATGTTATCTTCAGGGTGGGAATGATTATGAAATCTATGATGATCCTCGGACAGTAGGACACAGCATCCAGTCTCCCCATGATACCGTCCAGAGGTGCCGGGAGATCTTCTTTCCAGAAACCGTGAATGAATCTTGACTCACAGGCTTTCTGCTGCTATTCTTCACCACTCTAAGAAGACCTTCACTCACTTCATGAAAGCACCTTCTGGATCCTCTCAGGGCTCCTCTGAGCCCAAAGGTCAAAATGCACTTTGAAAACAGATTGGCGTGTCAAAGGATGATAGTTCTGAATCATTAGTAGCAGCACCTCTTGGGATTTGCAGAATCAAAATGTTGGTGCCCATCTATACACACACACCCCAAAGAAAAAACAGGGTATAGTTTTATTCTTAAAGGGAAACACATGGTATTCTTACTAAGGCCTTTTGGGGTAAGACAATCATCATGGCCTAACCTCCCCCCACATTCTTACAAACTAATATATTTCTGAGATTAAGGTCTGTAAAGATTATTTTTTTTAAAAGAAGGAGTCCTTGGGTTTTCAAAATTTGGGACTTGTTGCATATTTTTATATTGCTGAATAGTCAAGATGGTCAGCAAAACTGGATTTAAACAAACTGTTATTTTAAAAGTAAGTAATGGCCCTGATCCATGTCTAATGATGTGATGTGCATTGAAACATCCTATCAAAAGCAACAAGATGTAGTCCAGGGCATCCTTGCTAGGATGCAGGTCTGATTTACACCTGTGGTTCCTGAGCTAGCAAGCGATGCATTTCTAGAATGCTGCTTCTTCACATGGATCTCTCTAACTGAACTGGAATGAATCAAGAATGCTGCTATTTTCTTAAACAAATCAAAAATTTAAGCTACTTTAATTGAATCAAGTCTCAACTGGTCTGAGAACACCCTTAGGGAGGTAGCAGCTTTAGGCTGTAACAGAAAAGAATAGGGAATGTAAGAACTTGTTTTAAAAAAAAAGCCATTGTTTGAATTACATGTTTATTTGGCACCATTTAAAAGGTGTTGGTGTTAAAGGTAGTTGAGGAATAGAACTGTTCGCAGACTGCATTCCAGACATGCTGACATATTAATGACTCCAGGTGAACGAAATAGGATTAATTTATAGGGAAATGTTTACAGTTGCTGCAACTTTTCATCTTTGCTTCACCACTAAACGGTTAACCTGGGTTTTGGTAATGCAGTTTGCTTCCAGCCTTGTCTGCATAGGAATATTAAATTCTGATTAGCTGAACTGCAAAAAGTGAGTAAACTTTAGTGGGTATAGCCAAATTGTCACAAACATAAATCTGGTTTAAAGGTATCTACGTGTAAACCCTGTGTGGAACACTATTAACATAGACAAAAATTGGTTTTTAAAATGTAAGAATTATTCTGTGGGTAATTCTATATCCATCCAAGCTTTCTTTACTAATTCTAAAGAAATGGGGGAGGGGGGGATTGGCTGCTGTAACACAGCAAGGTGATTTTAAAGAAAAACTATGACAAGAATGATAGTTAAGCGCAGAAGCTGCACTCTCTGTGTTGTTGCCTCTCCTTGAATACTGTCCAGATAGGATTATACACATTCCACATACTGTGCTGCAGTCCTTGATACTGGCTTTTGCCTTTAGAAAATCTAGCTCCTAGTCCTAATGTCGTCGTCGTCGTCTTCTTTTTTTTGCTGTCAAATCACAGACAACTTGTGGCATCCCGTAGGCCTTTCAAGGCAAGAGGCATTCCGAGGCAGTTTACCATTGGGTGCTTTTGCATGATGATCCTGGACCTCTTTGGTGGTCTCCCATCCAAGTACTAACCAGTGTTGATGCTGCTTAGCTTCTAAGATCTGACAAGACTAGGCTAGCCAGGTCAGGGCCATGTTTGCATGAATAGTGTTTTAAAAAAATATCGCAAACCTTAACACCATAGAATTGTATGTTGGGGGTTTAAATCCCCCAAAGGTCTTCATTGCCTTCTCCATGTTTGCTCTACTTTCATCATTCACCCTACTTCCAGAAATATCCCAGACTTCTTAAAACATTGTGCATTTATGATTGGCATTGTGGTATAGGCTAACACCTTCTTATGCAAATGATTCTTAGCAATATATTTATGCTATTTCCTGTATTTTTAAAGCAGGTTCAGCTATGTTTTCCATTGTATTGAGAGTGCTTACACTCTTCATTGCCAGTAACTTTTGCAATTACCTAGAAATTGAGAATTTAGGCACTGTAACACTTCAAGCAGTTTTGACATTAGTGATCAGTGGCCACCATCAGAAGAGTGTGTTGCACCAAGAGTGTGTTCATGCGGTTAAGATGAAAGCTTTCGGGGGGGAAAGCCACATTTGCAGCATCTATGCAGGGCACCCTCCTATGAAATACCCGAAGGCTGCCCTTTGCCATTACCCTCCATTGTGGAGAACACTTTGAGCTGGTTTTAGGAGCATGGCATGATCACATGCAGTAAGACACCAAATGTGTGATACCTCCTGACACTTGCTACCTGTAATGCTTACTTGGGTGCCATAAGTAAGTGAATAGATACATGAAGGAAAGAAGAAGAGGAAGACAGCAATGATGGTGTGTGTGTTGCATCAGTTACATGTACACTCCTGGATGTCTGGCTTATTCATAACACTGTTTCTTCCTTTTGAAGAGGGTGATTGTTCAGGCAATGAGTCTCTTCCTCCTCTCACATACACACACCAACATTTAGGTGGCATACAGAAAGGGGTTTGGGAGCATAAATATGGCTGGATTTCTAAGGTGGATATGTATATGTGAAAACCAGGTGTGTATTGATAAGCAGATAAACTGCCGCATTTTCTGTCCACAAGCTTATGCTATATGGCAGCAAGGTATTAAAATTAGACTTATTTTTTTAAATATTGAACAGTCTTAATGTGAGGCTTCTGTAATTGTAGATCAATGTTTGTGTGACCTGCCCAGAGGTAAATACACAGCCAGAAAAAGTAGTTTGTCTCATTATTCTCACATTTCAGCATTGCTGTAGTGATAGTATACATGTTTTTAACAAATTTGCCTTGGAGCAGGACTGGGAAGCACACTAAATGGATTCTAGGGTACAGTTGAAAAGCGCACAGCACTGCAGCCTTGTTGAAACCAAGCAGGTCTGGCTCTGGTCAGTGCCTGGGACAGGGGAAGACCTTCTGGAAAATGTATGTCTCCCACCTTGAGTCTCATGAAGGAAGAAAGGCAGGATGTAAGTGCATTATTTATTAAACAGATGTACCAACTACCTCCTACTTAGAACCCTGCCTTTGCATTAAGTGCAGCTGTCAGTGGTACTTCCGCCTGCCTAGGCAGGGACTGCTCATGCGTTTTACATTACTTAACATTCTAAGTGTGCATATGACAAACATGCTTGGAAACCCAAATGTCATATTAGCATACTTGTTGAGGTGTACCTGCAGCACCACGTTGAATCTGTATTCGGTGGTAAGCCTGAGTGTGCCACTGTGAAATAGTTCTGATTCAAGACATGCATAGCACTAGGCTGGCTGGGTAAAAAGCCTGGAAAGTGGTGTACTGGATCTGGATTCAAGACACCCGCTTATCTCGGGATACAAATCAAACAGCTTTGTCATATAATTCCATGCTATTGAAATGGAAAGTGCTGGGGGGGGGGGGGCATTTACTGAGATTTTGGGCAAATAGCCATACATGCAAAACCAGTGAATTATAAGATTAAAAACTCATAGGTAGAAGAGTGGTGAATAAATTGTACTCAAGACTTTAGAGAGCTTTTACCCTTTGGAGCAGGCAGTACTATATTAGAGCGATCAAAGGACTGGTATAGTTTTGAGAATCTACCTATAAAAGATCCATGACTTGCATTAGGCCCAATGCAGGCCATTCTACCCATATAGCTAGCACCCTTCATGTCTGGCATTTATGAGACTGGTAACCACTACCACCACCACCTCACACACACTTTTCCATTTCATAGCTGTCCAGACACTTTATTTAGATTTGCTGATATCATTCCTGTGCTCCAAAGAATCACCTTACAAAAGGGGGAAAAAAGCAAAATGGGAAAGTCACTTTAATGGTTTATTGCCAGTGTTACAAAGGTCAACATGGGATCAAACAGGTAAGGACCACACTAAAGTTGTAAAAACACAAAAGACTCCATAAGTAACAAGGTTATTTCTGAAAACCAAAACCATTCCCAGAGAGAAGTCACCTTGTCCTGGCACTCCAGCTGGTATTGCGCCTTTGAGGAGAGGGGCAGTGGGTAGAAGCCAGTGATTTAATATCAGCAGACCAGCAGCAGAAGCCCCATGGCTGTCACAGGAAGCAGGTCACACATAGGGGCCCGGATACACGGCAGGGCGAAGGGGAAATGGCTGCCTCTAGACCCTTCCTTTGTTCCTCTATTGGTGCCAGAAAGCAGGTGTTGCACCTTCGAGAAAGGTCCAAAAAAAGTCCCTCCCCAAACAGACTCTCGGCAAGAGCACATCTGTTTAAACACGCACTTCTTCCATTGTACCTCCTTCCCATATGGACTTATCCACAGCACTGAAGTATAATTTTACTCTAAAAGCTGAAACAGACATGATGCAGGAGAGCTGTGGTTAGCATTTTTATCTTTTATTTTTAAGTAAAATGCTGTGGGGAGGATGAGTCACCACTCTGATTTTGTCCAGGGTAGGAAGTCTGAGAAGAGATGATCTAATGTCATGCCATTTCCCTGCCTGAAATTGGTAGTAGCTGATGGGTTGGGGAGGAGATTAGCAGGAAACACAAGCGTTCCCGCTGCCAGAACTAATAACACCTTCAGGGAATTATATTAAGATTAGGAAAGTGACATGAGAAGGGAAGTATCAAAATGTCATTTGCCTCAGTCCCACTTCTCCAATCAAACTAGGAAATCCTCCAAGACTGCCTCTAAGAAACAAACACCACTAAATTCATTGAGAATGCTTACCGGGTGGGCAACCATGTGGGAATTTTTTTTATCCTTGGTTTTGTTTTTTTGTTTTTAAAAAAAGAACTAGAAGATCCAGCTAGATATCCCATATGTCACCTGTGTTCCAGCTCTAACGTCACTATGAATGTTCCTCATTCTGTTGAAAGGGGCCAAGAATATTCCCATAACTCATCAGATTGGATTACTGGAGTGACACAGAAATCTCAGAAACAGGAGAACTTCAATTTGCTCCTCAGAATGTTGTTGGCCGCCCTTAGTAGAGCTGCTCAAAACCGCACATTTGCATTTAACTTCAAGAGCAGAACTACATTCACATGGTACAGTCTCCCGGGACTTTGTTTCACAAAGCCCATGAAGAAAGTCTGGTTTTTAATACTGTTCCACATAAATGCCCCATATGTAAGAGCTAGGACATTAGGGAGAAGAGTAGGGGCCAAACTAAAAATATACCTAATGCCTTAGTGTAGTGGTTAAGTATGCGGACTCTAATCTGTGAGAACCAGGTTTGATTCCCCACTCCTCCACTTGCAGCTGCTGGATGACCTTGGGCAAGCCATGGTTCTGTCAGAGCTGTTCTTGAAAGAGCAGTTTCTGTCAGAGCTCTCTCAGCCCCACCTACCTCACAGGGTGTCTGTTGTGGGGAGGGGGAGGAGTTTGTAAGCCGCTCTGAGACTCTAATCTGGGAGAACCACGTTGGATTCCCCACTACTCCACTTGCAGCTGCTGGGCAAGAACTTGGGCAAGCCATAGTTCTGTCAGAGCTGTTCTTGAAAGAGCCGTTTCTGTCAGAGCTCTCTCAGCCCCAGCTACCTCACAGGGTGTCTGGTGTGGGGAGGGGAAGGGGGAGGAGTTTGTAAGCCACTCTGAGTGAAGGGTGGGGTATAAATCCAATCTCTTCTTTTTATCTCTGGCTGCATGTGTCATTGGCACATAAAGCCAGAGAAAATGAGCAAAAATATAAAAAGTTTGTCACTTTTCTAAGAGGACTTCATTCACTCCTCCAGAATCAACATAGTGGAGAAATGCTGCCTCCTCCAGGCACCTCTGCATAAAATTTCCCACGGTCCTGGTTAGGCATTGTGGTGTTGAACGGAAGTGTACTTGGAGGAAGTATATCCTGCTAGAGCATACCACTACCATGCATCTAGTCATCCAGAGCACACAACCTAATCTGGCTGGTCAGTCTTTCATATGTACACACACCCCTAATTGCAGAAGTCTGGGTATCTCTGTGGGCTAAAGTCCCAAGAGATGTGAATTGTGAAGGTCAGTTGTGTATTAGCCACATTAGTCCCCCACAAAAATACACTTGCACAGTTACTGTGGATGGACAGCTTCCACTTAAATACCCTCATGAGCCCTTAGAACAGTGGCACATCTTTCTAATATATCAGGCCAAACTAAGATATGTTTTCAGGTTCTCCATGAAGGCAAGAAACCACAGATATAGCATCGCTATATCTAGCTACAGCTAGACCATCACCATGCCGACTCATCACATGCTCACTCTATCCTAGCAAATTTTTCTACTTGGAATGTCTAGATTACTCTTAGAAATGTTTGTGCTTTAGACATGACCCTGTATATCCTGGGGAGAGACGTAAACATTTTGAGAAGGCTGGACACACCCAAACATAAGTGGTGGAAGCAGTTTCTATCAGTGCCCCATGTGTCACCATTGGGACCCCAATTCTTCCACCTGTCTCACAAAACTCACATTGACTTCAGTACTACACACAGTCTCCATAGTAGGTTAAGGATGCAGAAGGTGAAAAATGGGAGGACCTAGCCCAAGTTAATTCCATCAAAAGAAACAATACTACCTGCAACATCCAGAAACTACAACTAGAAAATACTACTGATAACTAAAATACTGGTCTATGTCTTGGGAGATGCAGCAGAACAAAATGGATTTTCTCTTATGCCTTAATTCCACTGCCAAAGGCTGCCATACATTACCCAGAAGAACAGATGCATCCCAGTCACTCCATTCTATTTCAGATGTTTCTACAGTAGATTAAACTTTTAGCAAACATTCTTTCATTTTAAGAGTTCTTTTTGCCTTGCTTCTAAATACACACCATTGTTTTCACAGAGGAACTGTGTGCCTTGGGACCAAACGAGACATGATGGTGGGAGATCTGTTCCTAGAGCTCCCCCTTTTTAAGGCTTGGATGCTCTCACAGTCCCCTCCCCAATTTGAATTCTGGCTGAATTATGAAGGGCTTAACCCTTTCATTTCCTGCTGTTTTTCCAAAACAAATCATCCTTCTAGAGTTGCTATTCGTCCCACAAAGAGAACATGCAGATACCTGTTAAGATGTCTACATAGCAGTTCTAGGCTGCATGTGACTGATACAGGAAGAACAGCCCAGGGTGAGCCCTCATTCCCACATGCCAAGGCCACAGGCTATGTTCCCCCAGTGCTCCAGACTGATGGACATGGAAATGGGGAGAGATCTTAAGGCTGTAATGGATAGCTCAATGGAGATATTGACTCAGTGTGTGGCAGCAGGCTGGGCATAGTTAGAAAAGGGTCTGAAGATAGAACAGCCAATATCATAATCCCTTATATAGATCTATGGTGCAGACTTATTTGGAATACTGTACACAGTTCTGGTTGTCATCTCTCAAAAAAGATACTGCAGAGCTGGAAAAGGTTCCAGAAATGGCAATCGTGATGATTAAGGGGTTGGAGTCCCTTTCCTATGAGGAAAGGCTGGAGAGCCAGCTTGGTGTAGAGGTTAAGAGCGGTGGACTCTAATCTGGAGAACCAAGTTTGATCCCCCACTCCTCCACATGAAGCCAGCTGGGTGACCTTGGGTCAGTCACAGTTCTCTCAGAACTCTCTCAGCCCCACCTACCTCACAGGGTATCTGTTGTGGGGAGACAAAGGGAAGGTGATTGTAAGCTGCTCTCCTTCGAGTAGTGAAGAGTGGGGTATAAAACCAACTCAGAAGAAAAAGAAGACGACGAAGAAGAAAAGATGACTTGCGGGAGACATGACAAGAGGTTTACAGAATAATGCATGGGGTGAAGGAAGTGGTTTTCCTGTAATACTAGAACCCAGGGGCACCCAATGAAGTTGATGTGCAGTAGGCTCAAGAATGACTGACAAGAGGAGGTACTTTTTCCATCCACAGGTAATTAAATTGTCAAAGCCACTGTCAGTAATGACCACTAGCCTTCATGGATTTAAAAGGGGCCTAAACAGATTCATGGAGGATATGGATAGGTCCACCCATGGCTATCAGCCATGGCGATTAAAGGGAACCTCCATTCATTTGGCTCCACAGACTGCAGCTGTCATTTTAAAAGAAGTGTGGGAAGAGGACCTCTCTGCAATGGACAGAAATAAGAGAACTCTGTCAATACTATCACAACAATGCCACTGTCACAAATCTGTAAAGTCAAGCAAACTGGAAACAAAACATTGCCTCAACTGGGGCTATCTGGAACAAACCACTGTTGTGTGATGGTACAAGGGGAGAGGAGTCATTTTATGCACAGTTAGGTGCAATACAAAGGTTCTGTCCTTAAAAAGCCACAGATAAGGGGTATATATAGCTTTTTTTAAAAAAAATTGCTCATATAGTCAAAAGCAGGAATATTCTGATTTTAGACTCCAGCTTTTCTTTGCGGGGCTGAAAAGGCATTTTTAGCTTGTGCAAACAGGGTATGTATGAATGATCAGTTTGCCCTGGGAAGATCTATTACTAGTATTTCTTTCCAAACTGGTATTCCACATCTTGACCATTCTCTCCGTCTGCATACTTCAACAGGATGGACTCTGTGCCACAGTTCTGCGAACGTATGCAAAGGGAAAGATTTGTACAGCATTTATGATGTATAAGACTTTATACGTAATATTCCAAATGTGCAGGTTTGTCAATGCATTAATGGAGACATTGAGGAACAGATAACTACAAAAATGCCTACTCTATATTTTCTTCAAGCACCTAAGCTGCTCTATAGTATCAAAACATTGAATGCCCCCCCCTTTTCTGGTGCAAAGCACTTCAAATCATGACTTTGGGGATGGAAGATCACAAAGTCTGACTGCTCCAAGACCAGTTCCAATAACAGAAACCCCTTCCATCCAATGCCCCATTCCACCTACTTGAATGAGCAAAGAATAAAAGCAGTGTTTTCTCCATATCATATCAGTATGACAAATTCGAGTGTTAACACCGCAGAAGGAGAGATTCTCAATCAGGGGTCATTTCCTGCAGGAGCGCACAGGAGCGGAGCTCCGGCAGTAAAGAGCCCAGGGGGCGGGCACATGCAACAAGCCCCACCCCCTGCTCCCAGCAGCTCTCAGTCAGAGCAAGAAGCAGCCAGGTAAGCTGCAGAGCTCCTCCCAGTCCCCCGGTCCAAAACAGTCCAGTGGCACCTTTAAGACCAAGTTTTATTCAAGTACAAGCTCTCCCTCCTCTGCAAGGACAGATCTGCATGTTCCACCCACCCACCCCCACTAGCTAGCAATCCAAAACAGTCCAGTGGAGCCTGAGCGGTGGGTGTTGCCTTCTGACACACTTCCGGTGATGTCAGGGGGTGTGGCATATGCAAATAAGTTATGCTAATGAGTTATGCTAATGAGCTCCTGCACCTCTTTTTCTACGAAATGACCCCTGTTCTCAATCACATTAATTCTTTCAGAAACCCTCTTCCTTGAGGTATTCTTTCTATTGGCTCCGTACAGCCTACTTATCTATGTTTGTGATGCAAGTGGGGGGGGGGGGAGTATCGATCACTAGAGCAACAACAACACTGAAAGCTCACCTGGCTGTGGCAGCAAAGCTATTGACCATGTCAGTAGACTCAGGTGAAAGGGAGAAGATATCCAGAAAGTACCATCTATACACTGGGATGAGTGGAAATCACCTGGTTCCTCCCTTGTACAGGGTGAGATAGCTGAGAGAAACCAAACCCCTTCAAGTATCTCAGTAGATGGCACCACTTAAGAGAGGCTTTGGAAGACACTAATGTCCCAATACTTTCAAGACCATGCAAATCACCTTCTTCAGTATCTCCTCTGGCCAAGAAGGAACTTAATGCACCCTGGGGGAGGGCTGTCTGGTCCCAGCTGCTCTTGAGAAACTGATGGAAATGTATGTTATATGGACAATGATTATAGACATGTTTTTGAACGTGACATGGTAGCAGCAAGATACCAGTCTTTCTTTATGGACACACACACACAAACACAAAATAGGAGCTCTGATTTTCGCCCAAATAGATACAATTAAGACACATAAGAGGAAGTCCACTCCACAGCTCTTTCCTAACTTCCTGCTTACCATCTTGAAAAAATTTACAGTTACAAACATAAAGGTAAGTCTTAGAAAAGACAAGATATAAACGCAAACATGTCACACTGGAAACAAGAATCGCCAGCCTGGCTTCTCTTCCATCGCTCCTGCAGCTGCTCCACCACCCACACCACCACCCAACCCCACTTCCTGGTGGAGTTGGCCCACAGGCTTCAAAAAAACAAACAAAAAGGCAGTTTATGAGCCAATTATCTGACCAGACCACGTTTCATGCTTTGTGTGTGGAGCTAAGTGGGTAAGCACCACCTCCACAGCCTGGAACTTCTGATTCTTTGGTGGGATGGGGCAGATTTTGTATGTGACCACATCTCCTTCTACTGGGACATACTCCCCCTCAATGCTGAAAAGAGAAAAAAGAAGGAAGGTTTCAGAATTCCGAACTAAAGTAAGATGAAGAATCACTGGTGATCTGCAACACAAAATAAGGAAACACGTCTACAAAAAGCAAGGAGAAATCAATAGGTCTTCCATTATTACATCCTCAAACAGAGACTGCCATCCCCACTGTAGCCCAGTTTAAGTGCAGCTTCTCATGAGCAGATCTCATGAATTCCAGTCAAAGTAGCCATCGTGTGAAAATAGAAAAATAGAAACTACATAAGCAAGCAGTAAACACAGAGACTTCACCCAAAGGGTGTGTACACTGCAGTGGTGTTTCTGAAAACAGTAGGCAACCTGGATTTTCTTGTGGGCTTTGTATTGCAGAGGTATACATGAGATTATCAGAACAATGAACAGAAGTAGGTAGATACAATAGAGATGTTATGATACAGCAGCATTTAAACTGTGTTGCATCATTGCTGCAGGATGTTTCAAGCAGCCATCATTTAAGTCTCCATTGAACTCATGCATTAAAACCTTTCTTCCATCACCATGCTGATAATGTAACAGTACAGCATGATAGCTCCCACAGGGTATGGTACTATAGTGCTATTGATGCAAGGAGAAAATGACCATTGGCTGCTCAAACATGCCATCACGCACTAATAGGGTTGCCAGGTCCTCCCTGGCCACTAGCAGGGGATGGGGGACAGAGTTCCCAGATCCAGGCTGGGAAGCTCCTGGAGATCAGGGGATGGAGCCTGGGGAGGACAGGGACCCCAGTGATGTACAATGCCACAGAGTCCACCCTCCAAAGCACCCATTTTCTCCAGGGGAATTCATCTCTGTAGTCTGGAGATGAGCTGTAATTTCAAGGAATCCCCCACCCCATGGAGGCTGGCATCCCTATGCACAGGGGTCTTGTTGTAGAAAAAGAGCTGCCGGAGCTCATTAGCATAACTCATTAGCATAACTTATTTGCATATGCCACGCCCCCTGACATCACCGGAAGTGACAGAAGGCCACACCCCCTGACATCACCGGAAGTGTGTCAGAAGGCCCGGCTACTTACCCTCCTGCTTCATCCTCATTCCCAAACGGAATGAGGATCGAAGCAGAGGGCGGGGTAAAGAAGGGGGCGGGGCTTCACCACGTGACCGCCCCGCCCCCTAGAGGTTCTCTTCCGGAGCTCCGTACCTGAGAGCTCCCCCCCGACTAGAGCCCTGCCTATGCAGAAATACTGAGTGACATGAGAGGTTCTGCACTCTATTCGCCCCACCATGGGACTTACTCAGACACATGGACAAATATATCCTCTGTACCAGTCTCTGGGGTGATGAAACCATGGCCCTGGGAACGGGAAAACTGTTTGCATACACCCTTGTAGACAGGACCAGCAGAGGCACGAGCCGTCCTAAAAGGGGGAAAGGGGAGGGAGAGAGAGAGAGGGAAGAAGGAGGAAAATCAGTTGGTGCTGATATTTGTTGTTGAGAAGATGTTCAGCTGCTCCTAGAAAAGAATCTTTCAGCTCTACCACTCCCCCACAGTCTAGACTATATAGGTGAAGCAAGCAGTTGTGCATAGATGCCATCAAGTCTTAAAATTTGTACTTGCGATCAATTCCACAATTCACTTTAGAAATATAACAGAGGATGCTTTTATAAACTGCAGTCTTAAATCCATATTATCATCAATCTGCAAAATTCAGTACTTTCTCCCTTGCTAAAACTCCTTGATCCAACATCCGTAATTTAGAATGCTGAGGGAAAATTTCATCAGGAGAATGGATTTTTGTGAGGAGCTCTGAATTAGGGGAATTTGCTTCAGAATTCCAGGTCCACCCAAAGGTCCATCTCCTATCCAGATATGTAGGTTCTGGAAATTATGGCTGAGAGGGATCAGAAATCAGTACACCAGGATTCAGGACACAAAGGACAAGATGGCGCCTGGTGGTGGAAAAAGCTGCAAGAATTAAGGCAGCCATTTTTGCCCCTCTTCCCTAGTCTGTTCCATTTCTTTGAATATGACATGGAAAGTCTGAAATGCTCCTTAATTTTAGAAGAAGCCCTTTACTTTTCATCTTCCTCCAACCATCTTGTCTTCAGGGGTGAAGTGTGATTACTTACGCAGAGTATGTCCTGGTTCTTTTGGTGGGAAGGGGGCTAGGTAAATCCCGAAGAAGGTGGTTACCCCTTTCACAGATCCTGCTTCCCTCCCGGTTAAAGGGAAAAGTAGGCCATACAGGTGACTTTGGAGAATGAAGAGGCGGCACGGTAGAATGGGAAGTCTGATCAGATGACATAATGTGGCCGTTTCCTGGAGTGAGAGAAATGGCATCAGCGGGAAAGAGGTAAGCAAGTGTTTTTAGCCTTCGAATTCAACATATCATGCAAAGCGAAAAGGAAAAATGAAGCATCTTGAAGAATATAGAAGATCCTTGGCACCTATAAACAGGGATGACCAGACTTGTACAAGTCTCAAGTAAAAACAACAACAACGTGGTAAAGCAACTTCTGTTACAGAATTCCAGGCTTCCTGATATCACGTTCATACAGTTTATTAGCAAGCAGGGCAGAAGAAGAAGAAACTGCAAAAGCTGAAAAGCAAGGTGGGGAGGAGTCTTCTGGGGCTCCACTAACCATGATTAGTTATCTGATGTCCAGCCAAGAGCATCCTGGAAGCGATGGCTCAGAATGGGGCTGCTTGATGAAGTTCTCAGTCACCTCTGGGAGACAAAGGAAATCTAAGCAGCCTGAATACAGGGCCTCTCCTTTATCGCTAGCTAGCACAGTAATCGATGAGAGACAGCAAGAGAGACGTGGCACCCATAGGTTGCTCATGGGTGCAGCATCTTATTCTGCCACTGCAGAGCACACCACAGATTGAGGAGAACAAGGACTGGCTGCAACTTTGTGGGGAAACGACACTGCTGTAAATTGGCTGTTTACAAGAATGAGAATACTAGCAATTCTGAAGGCATTGATAAGCATGTACTACAAAGGGCTTTAAAATCCACACTTGCTGTCAGAACTCAGGACACCATATGCATCAGGAGTAAAACTGATAGTAAAATTTTAGTATCACACATTTAGATTAGCCTCCCTGTTAGAGAACAACGGTCTGATCCCAATCAATGTATAAACAACAAAATATATATGTTTTCCCACAGGCACCTATTACATTTAGGAAGGTGTACCTATAGAAACCAAGCACTAATACAACTACATTTAGAGTTCAGCGTTATTCCCAATTTTCATGGCTGCTAACATTTCCTTTATTCTTTATGCAACAATCTGTGCTATCAGAGCAAAGTGTCATGACCCCTTGTCTTATTCTCTCTCTTTTTTAAGTCCCCAGAGGAGATTTTTTATTGCATTTTCTATAAACTACAGGGAAGGAAAAACTATATCTATGGGAGAAAGGAAAGAAAACCAAACTAAAAACCCAAGAATAGGAGATCATTACAATAGCTTATATCAGTGTTAATCTAAAATGCTATGATTACATTGAACATAGTCAATCATGCTATATTATTTATCTTTAAAACCATTGTTTTCACTATTTAAAGAAAACCACAAGAGCATAATTGATAACCTTAAGGCAGAATTCAGATTTCTTCAGCCTTCATTTTGTTTTATCTTTTCTAATCTTAATTGATATTCTCGCTTAGGGGCTGCTGCCCCTTTTTCAGAGGCAGAGACCTCATCGGAAGTAGCGGAGTCCATTTCATCACTAGGTTTGCTGTCTTCTTCTTCCTTGCCGTCCTCACCGGACTCCCCCAGTTGCAGTCTCAGGAACTCACAGTCTTTGGAAACAGAGTCATTTTTTTCTTTTTTATCCTGCAGTTTGAAAATGACTCATTCGGGGGTCAACCATCTCTAAGGAATGCTGTTTGTTTGTAAAAATAGGATCAAGTCCTTGTACTTCTTCCTCTTCTTCCTTATTTCAAATGGAATATCTTTTAAGATCCTGATGATGTTGCCTCCAATTTTCAAGTGCATTCCTGTAGTTGCTTTCAGGATTTGGTCCCTCACATGTCTCTTCGAGAATCTAACCACTATCTCCCCAGGCAGATTATTTTTCTTGATATAAACAGAATAGGTTCTATAAACCACATCCATTTCACTTACAAGGTATTCTGCTTTTAAATCTGTGATTGGGGCTAGCGCATCACTCAGCAGTTGCTTTAGATTCTCTTCTTTTGCTTCAGGGACCCCTTGGAAGCAGAGGACTAGGTTAGCTTTTTCCATTTGTAGCTGCAAAAGTTGATATTTGTCTGAAGCTTGCTTCTTTTCCAGCATTTGAAACTTTTTCTTTACCTTTTTGGCATTGGCATCCATTTCCTTCACTTTCTCAGCTGTTTGTTCCGTCTTTTTTGTAGTCTCAGTCCATTGGAGCTGCTGAGCTGCAAAGTTCTGGTTTAGAGCTGTCAGTTGTTGATTGTTGTTCGTCATCTGGTCCAGTAGAGGGTGCAAAGTGTACGCTAACAGTTTAGAAAACTCAGTGGTATCTTCCAGCCGTGGGCTCATGCTCCCCGATGGTTTCACTTTTGCTTGTCTGTCTTTCTCCGTTTTTTTCCACGCCATTTTTATGGATTGTTTACTTTTTTGAAAACTTGCTAAAGTCTCTGAAATTCGCCCAAACGCTTACAGGCACTCTAGTTGATATCTTAAAATAGATTTCAATGCTTTTTCTTCCACCACCACCCTTGGCAAATCGCTATTCTCTTTGTGCGTATGGGAGGGGCCCTTCCCCCACTTGCTCATCTCATTGTTCCCAGAGGGGCTTTCTTTTAAATTCCCGGCATTTCGATTTAACTTGACTCACTGTTTATTGATGGTCTGAAGACCTCGCTCAAGGTATGTTTTTACGCCCGATCTCCAACGCTTGTCCTGGTCAGCGGCTCTGGTTCCACGGGGGGGGGGGGGCGACAAGTCACCCCCCTCCAAACCGCTGGTGCGCGATCGCTTCTCCGGGAGGTCCGGGAGAAACGTCCTCTATCATGTCGCCATAAACCAAAAGTCAACCCCTTGTCTTATGCTCCAGTTGCCATATCTTCTGCAAGACCAGGGTCCCTCCCCACCACCCCAGTCTGCTCACGGGGCTTTGCCCTTCTACTCTGTCCAAGATCCTCCTGTGGCTTAGTCATGCTCCTTCCTAAACCCAGCCATCACAGGGCATTTGGGGCTGCAAATCTGCCAATCAGCAGGAGAGAGCAGTGAATGAGCTACCCTTCTGAAGATATACAATATGTAACTCGGCTATTCAACATATTAAAAAGAACTTATACAAAGCAATTTAAAGTGGCATGGGCATTTACTGAACTACTGTCCACAATATCACAGGCAACCAATAGTAATCATAACATTCAGGTACCTGTAGGCCATGTGGCGAATCAAAAACAATGGATGTTTTACCTTAGGAGAGAATCTCATTTCCCTAAGTACAACACATCCAGAGCTGTGAAATGCAACAACCCTGCAATGAACGCATAATATCAAAGAAAACTGTGCAGCACAACAGTAGGCAATTACACTTTTTATTGAGCATCCCTACTAAAGATCTTTTCCTAAAGAAAAAAAATATTGTACCACATACCACAATCCCATTAAATCCAACACCTGTTCACATCAAAGACTTAAAGTTTTTTGGCCTGGAAGTCTACCAAATGAGCATCAAAGAAGCTGAGGGTGAGGAAGACAGCAAGTACACAAATCAAACTACTTATCTGAAGACCCTTGAAGAGCAATGCATGAGTAACCTTGAGGGAGCAACAACAGTTGCCTCCCAGCTGTTCAGAGGCAGCCAACATCTGGAGATGCTTCCCAGGAGCCACATAGCAAGAGTGCCAGTGATAATTTATTTATTTATCTATTTATCAAACATACCCCGCCCTCCCCGCAAGCTTATACCCCGCCCTCCCCGCCCTCCCGTAAGTGCTCACTGTGTTCTCTTTCCATGACCCTGCCCAAAATAAGCAGCTTTCTATTTAATTTTGAAACAGAGCCAAGATAAACTGTCAGCCTAGAAGCTTGGCATAACGTATCCCTTGATGGTCCACCAAATAGACCTGAGCCCAAAGGAAGCACTCTAGAAAATATACTACACACCCATATTCAAGGAGATCCTAGAGTCTCTGTGGAAATGCATGGCCAGGCCCTCAATTCTATCCTCATGCTTGAATGCATAGACTCTATTGTCATTATCTTTCATTTGTCCTAGGCCATTTCCCCATATTTAGTGACTGTGTGCACACACAGCTATATGTTACTTATGGAGGAAGCTGCTTTAGACAAGGAGTCAAATCAATATTCGTATTGACTCACTACAAGCCTAAAGGTCCCAGGTTCAATCCCTGGCATCCCCATTTAAAAGGATCAGGTAGGGGGCGATGCGCAAGACCTCAATGTGAGGACCTGGAGAGCTACCTCCAGTCTGAGTAGACAATATAAGTCTTGATGGACCAATGGTCTGATAAGTATAAGGCAGCTTCGTGTGTGTTATGTATGTAGCCCACCACACGGCGGCCACAAGAAAGACAGGAGCTTGGCTCCGGAAAGACAATGGGACCTAGGATCCTAGTCCCCCCCCCAGCTGACCAATGGGCTTCTTGGCGGGAAATTCAAACCCTCCAATGGAGTGGGAGGCCCAGGGGTGGGAGTGTATATAGTTGGCCTTGCAGGGCCGTTGTGTGCTCTTGTGTGAAGTACTGAATAAACGTGTGCAACGGCATGTCGTTGTCCGAGTCTTCCATGCGGCGAACCAAGTATTTTACAGTGGCGACGAGGATGGGATACCGCTGAGTCTGGCCTGGCTCGCATCAGCGCAACCTTCCATTCCTGCCACGCCGCGCCCCGCATCGCGCACCAGCCGCACCGCACCGCGCACCGCAACGAGGAACCACAGCCCCGCGCTACCGCTACGCCATGGCCTCCAACAGAGGAAATCTGGAGATCTTTGATCCTGCCCAACCAGAGCTATGGGACTCGTGGACCGACCAGCTGACGTGCCATCTCGAGTACAACGAGGTCACCGACGCAAAAAAACGGTCCGTCTCGCTAAAAGTCTCCTCGCGCCCCGGTCCATCCTGGAGTGTACCTATGAGGAGATCATTGAGGCCCTCACCAAGTACCTCACGCCGCGGCCGACGACGCTCGCCAGGCGGTTGGCTTTCCAGGGCCGCACACAGAAATCGGGCGAGTCGGCTGCAGCCTTCATGGCCACCCTGCGCCAGCTGGCGATGGACTGTTCCTTCACCAAGGTGGAGAAGAACCTGCTCACACAGTTCGCGTGGGGCCTCAGCGACCTCAAACTAC